TCGTTGAACGAACGAACCTCGTATGACAAACGAACCTCGTCAAACGAGCGAACCTCATCAAATCTCGAGAACGCCAGGGTCACATCCTCGTGCGAATGCGTAACTCGTTCACATGCTGCTTCGCACCTAACAAAGCGTCACTTAGCGCCTCAGCCCGTTAGCCTCGATCCCCGGCCCACTGCCCACGACCCACGACAACTTATGAGGGATTAATTAAAATAAAACATTTCTCGGCTTGCCGTTCACAAGCCTCGAACAATGGACCTTTTGAAACACCAAAACATTAACTTTCCACTAGGCTACTTGTTGTGCGCAGCAAAAATTTCGACAGAGTTTCTGGTGCACAATAAGAGAGAAAGACCGTAATAAGAATTCTCGTCTCACTAAGAAAATAAGAATCTGAAGTAAAATATCTCAACAAAATAGGATATCAGCTTTTCCTCTCATCAGTTCTAGGACTGACCTATCGAGGGAACCTAAACTCTATTACAAATCACAGCACGAACAATCAATTTTAACATGGTTCGGTAAATTGCCTACGTCCACGGGGAATGAGGGGGGGGATCTACTATTAGAGAAAGAGAATATAAATGGGTTTACAATCACATAAATTCTCACAAATTAAAACCCTCAAATAACTCTCAAACCTCACATAAATCTCTCTCTCAAAAGGGACCATTGCACAGTCGACAGCTTTTCCCAAAACTCGACGATTTTCCTCTGCCTAACACGCCGCCCTACCTTTGCACAGCCGCTTACGATTTTTCTTTCCCCCTAGCACTTGCCCACAAACCTAGAAACCAATTACAGCTATATATATAGCTACAATCTCGGTTGGGCCTACTATGGGTCTATCACGAGACGTTCCCAAAACAAAAAAATGTTTCCTGATGAATTTGTGGCCCCCACAAGCACGCTTAGCTGCTCAACGTTGTGGCCCCCCCACGTGCTTCACAATTCTTCACCTCGACGAAGTTTTTCCAAAATTAAACCGACACCAACCAAAACAAATGGCTCACTTGTTATGTCCAGTACGAAGTGAAACGATTCACGACAACGGACTCAATCCATAACAAGTCGAGACCCAAATGAGAATGAGACCACTCTCCAAAAGTCGGTGTATATTCACCAAATCGGTTGTATCATAAATGACTGCCTACGTATCTCATTGCCCAGAGAATCAAGCCTTCACGTAGTTCACCCAAATGGCCGCGAATGGTCTCAATCCAATAGAAGAGTTCACAACCCTTCTCCAATATCATCAACTCTGCGGCTGATAGAACCTCCAATGGCTTCAAAGTGTAACGAATCAAATATCTCCACCTGAGGTAAACTAATGGTCATATCCAACTGCGAACTATGTTTACCAGCTGCACTCAAATCCAAAAACAACTCATCATCTGCATCCAAATCCAAATGATCTTCAAGCTGTGTCACCTCAGCTGGAATCCCAAACGATACAGAATGATCTGGAGTATGTAGAGTAATCTCTATCCAATGTAAAGTAGCATCACTCTTTACCTGTTGTGATACCTCTATGATCTGTCCAAAACTCTTCACCTGCTGAGAGTCAATAGGCACCCTCATCGAAGCCTCGTCCAATGTGATATTACCAGACCAAATATCCAATTGAGTTTTACCTCCAATCACAGCAGTTGACAACTCTTTAATAGGATGCAGACCAAATATCCAATTGAGTTTTACCTCCAATCACAGCAGTTGACAACTCTTTAATAGGATGACCCAAATATGTCGAAGCCTCAGTCCAGAAACTCTTCTGCAGACCATTGCTTGACAACAAACATCGATCCTCCTCCAGCAAGACACGGTTCTCTAAATTTGTCATCCTATCTACTTGCCCTAAGATTTCTTTTCTAACGAAGTGTCTCAAAATATCGTGAGCTCGGTTCTAATACAGAAACAGATCCATCTTGTACCTCCCACCAAAATCAGAATGAAGTATCTTCACCTTTCTGTCTATCACACACTTTTTTAATCTGTTGGAGACTACTAGGACTTTATCCAAAGGGGATTTGGTTACAACCCAAACACGCCTAGAACAACCACCAATAAAGAAAACTAAACATCTATTTCCTCCTAATGATACCTCCTTGAAAGGCCCTCAAACATCCACGTGAACCCTATCTGAAAGACCTTCCGTGCGGTGAATAGAGGTGTCAAACTTCAACTCGGTTTTCTTGCTCACATCAAAGTGTTTATTGGATTTCAAATTACAGATCAATGTATTCATCTTCAAATCAATACTGGAATGACTAAGCCCCAAATACCGCAGTCTAGTCGAATCAACAGAAGTCGCCAACTCTCCACCTATCACTGTATCTCTAATCAAATAGTACAGGTTATTTCTCCTGATGCCTTTCATCACAATCAAAGAGTCTGCCACGATCTCGAGAACCATGTCCTCAACACGAACCTTCAGACCCTCTCCAACCAAAGCTCCAATTGAGATCAAGTTTTTCCTCAAGAAAGGAATATATCTCACATCATATAATCTCTAACAGTCCCGTCAAACATCTTGATGTGAATTCTTCCTATCCTAAGGATCTGACATGCACGGTTATCTCCCATGTACACCACATCACTATCCAATTTCTCAAAACTGAAGAACCATTCCCTTCTGAGGCACACATGATAGGTCGCACTACTATCCAACATCCACTCTGATTCCTCCGAATAGCTACCTATAGGACTGATAGAAAGCGAATAAATAGAAGTATCAGAAATATTAACATCCGATATAACGATATTTGCTTCTGATGATGATTGCTTCTCTTTTCCCTTCTGTTTATTCTTCATCCATTCGTCGAGCTTTGAACAATCTTTCTTCCAATGATCAGTCTCCTTACACCAAGCACAGTGATCTTTTCTAACTGTAGGATACCCTACTCTAAACTGTGACTTTCAATTCTTTCGGTTTGGATACTTTCCTCTTGCGACCAATACCTCCGTTATCGGCTCAACTAAAGCTTCATTATCCTTCTTTCGAAGTTGATAGTTCACAAGTGCAGGGGTGACCTCACTATACAAAAGGGACATATTTCCATTAATTAGGGTAAGAATAAAGGTCGTGTATTCCTCATCCGGCAAGGAACTCAACAACAGCAACGCTTTGTTCTCATCTTCGATCATAACATCCACATTCGTTAAATCCGTAAGAAGCTTCGTGTAGTGGTTCATGTGATCACTAATGGAGGTTCCCTTCTTTAATTGGAAGCGATAAAGCATCCTCTTCAAATGCAAGCGATTTTCCATACTCTTGGTCAAATACTTGCTCTCAAGGGTCTCCCAAATCTTCTTTGAAGAAGTCTTATTCATTACATCATACTTCAAATCTTGTGTTAAACAAGACCTAATAACACCACACGTCGTCCGATTCATCTTCTTCCAAACCTTCTTTCAAATCTTGTGTTAAACAAGACCTAATAACACCACACGTCGTCCGATTCATCTTCTTCCAAACCTTCTCTTCAATATCATCTGGCTTGAGACCTAATAACACCACACGTCGTCCGATTCATCTTCTTCCAAACCTTCTCTTCAATATCATCTGGCTTGTCATCCAACTCTAAAGTGTCTTCCAAATTTTACGCGTTCAGCGCATCCAAAACTTCGCATCGCCAAAGTCCAAAGTTGTTTGTGCCATTAAATTTCTCCACATCTATTTTTGTAAAATGGATATTCAAACTTTGAATGGTCTTCATATCAGAAGTATCACCCTCAATACCTTCTTTCCCGGCCATATTCCTCAACACACCAACTACCAATGCGGAACAAACTGAAGAATAGATCCAAACTTGAGAAATATCAAGTCTTTACCAAAAAAGATCTCACGTTTAACTCCAATTGAAACCTTAGATGAGCTTTCAAAGTGATCTACTCCTTCAAATTACCCAAGCGTAGCCCGAACTCTGATACCATTTGTTGTGCGCAACGAAAATTTCGGTAGAGTTTCTGGTGCACAATAAGAGAGAAAAATCGCTATAAGAATTTCCGTCTTACCAAGGAAACAAGAATCTGAAGCGAAATATCTCAACAAAGTGGGATATCAGCTCTTCCTCTCATCAGTTCTAGGACTGACTATCGAGGGAACCTAAACTCTATTACAAATCACAGCACAAACAATCAATTTTAACGTGGTTCGGCAAATTGCCTACATCCACGGGGAATGAGAGGGGAGATCTACTATTAGAAAAAGAGAATACAAATGGGTTTACAATCACACAAATTCTCATAAATTAAACCCTCAAATAACTCTCAAATCTCACATAAATATCTCTCTCAAAAGGGGCCATTGCACAGTCGGCGGCTTTTCCCAAAACTCTGCGATTTTCCCCTGTCTAGCACGCCGCCCTACCTTTGCATAGCCGCCTGCGATCTTTCTTTCCCCTAGCACTTGCTCACAAACCTAGAAACCAATTACATCTATATATATAGCTGCAATCTCAGGTGGGCCTACTGTGGGTCTATCACGAGACGTTCCCAAAACAAACAAAAAATGTGTCTCCTAATGAATCCGTGGCCCCCACAAGCACGCTTAGCTGCTCAACGTTGCGGGCCCCCCATGTGCTTCACAATTTGGCTACTAAACATTTATGAAAAATACTTGTCGTTAATATATATATATAGTTTGAAAACTCATTTGGAAAGCGGTTTTGACCAAAAAATCCAACAATAAGTTCTTATAGATAATTACAATGTCAACGCTAGAGGCTTACAAAAAATAAATTGATGGCATTCATCGTTCTTTATTAGTTGTACTACTGTTTTTGCTTCCAATTCAAAATGCAATTACCAAAGTTAATTCCTATATAATCCTTAGCAGTTCAGTTAACCTACACAATAACGTATACTAAGCTACATTCACAACAAAAGCCCGCATGCTGCATCCAAGCCTCCCAGTAAATCAATAAAAAAACATAGAAGAGAGCCAAAATATCAACGATAATTTGAAGTGAAAAAAAAGGAAAAAGGGATTTTACTTGCGAGGATACAGGACCACGAAACCCTAGATCCAATCTCACACCGACTGAAGGTCCCAAATCTGGAACACAATCAAGCCACATTTAGCTCTACTCTTCTCCTGGTAAAACATCGGCAGTTTAGATAATCGATGGTAAAGAGAAAATTGAAAAGAAATCAGCCCAAAATTAGAGTTCTTTCATACATAAAAAGCACCTGATCTCTCGCCCCAAATCTTGAACATAATCAAGCCATTTTTAGCTCTGATCTTCTCCTGATAAAAACATTTCTATCTTAGACAAAGCAAGTGAGAAGAAAAAACTGAATAAAAAAACCCTAATTCTAGACCTTTTACAAAGAAAAGTTACCTCATCTTTCGGCCCCCAAATCTGGAAGAATCAAGCCACGTACGCTTGAGCGCCGATCTTCTCCTAGTTAAACATCGGAATTTGGATGAAATTGAAAATAAGCCCGAATTCTGGGGTTTTTTTGCATAAAAATACCTCATTTTGGCTCCCGGTATTCAACCCAAATCCTCAATTGAGAGAGAGAGAGAGAGAGAGAGAGAGGCGTTGGAGGACGCGGGAGATTGCATCTCGTTATTTATAATCGATGACTTTTTTGGGGAATGACGTGACGTGGTTTGAAAAATATCTGGGCCGGGCCCACTTAGCCAATATTAGACGATTTGGCAATACCGTGAACTGGGCCGTTTTAGTCTGGCTCAAATTAGCCAACAAAAAACGTTGTAACAAGATGCGTAACTGG